ATGGAAAAAAATAGACGTATTTAACATCTTACAACACATACAAATGGCCCATATTCACATTGAAAGAATTTATGTAAAGTAGGATGTAAATTTTCAGCATGTGTACTTAATATTTTTAAATAGTTCTAATTAAAATGCAAACTATGAATTGATGATTTCTGCATATAAAATTTTTCATGTTTTTACGACCTCAAGTTGAAGGAGAGAGGTAGTAAAAGAAAAAATAAACTATAGATCTTTTGTCATTTCTATTTTAAATTTTATTGTGATGTAAATATTGACATGAAGTATATAGTTCTTAAATATATAATTTGAATTTTTACCTACATATGTGATATATATAGTAATCACTACACAGATTAATATACAGAATATTTCAACATCCTAGAAGTCTCATGAGTACCCCTTTTTGTCATTTATGCTCTTCTAAGGAATAATCACAGTTTTGACTTAAGTTACTATAGATTAGTTTTTGTCTGTTCATGAAGTGCATGTAAATAGAATCATACAGTATTGTTTTTGTCTGGCTTTTTTCACTCATTATGTAGATAAGATTCATCCATACTGTTTTGTGAAACAGTTTTTTCTTTATAGTATTCTGTTATATAAATAAAACACAGTTTATCTGTTCCCTGGTTGATGGAGGTTTTGTTTGTTATAGCTTTTTGCATTATGACTAAAGCTGCTAGAAACATACTTGCTTTTTGACAAATATATGCACTCATTTTCCTGGGCCATGAGATTTTATAGTTTATAAACGTTCAAACATTTTAATTAAAGTAGACAGAATGCAGCTGGATGCAATGACTTAAGCCTATAATCATAGCACTGTGGGAGGCAGAGGCAGCAGGATACCTTGAACTCAGGAGTTTAACACCAAGACTCTGTCTCTACTACAAATAGAAAAATTAGCTAGGTGTGGTGGTGCACACTTATAGTCCCAGCTACTCACTGAGGCTGGAAGATTGTTCAAGCCCATGAGTTCCAGGTTACAGTGAGCTATGATGAAATTGCACTCTAGCCAGGGCAACAGAGCAGGAGTCTGTCTCAAAAAAAAAAAAAAAAAGCCATAATGTGAATCCTGCCTCACAAGAGATTTCAAGTCTGTTTAAGTAGCTTGTATACCTCTTTGATTTTATAATAGAAGCTGGGGGAAATAATAATGACTTTACAGCAAGTTTAGGATGGTATCATATTCCTGTTCTATAATCCAAGAGTTACAGATATTATATATTCATTCATTCAGTGCCATTCTAGGTGCTAGAGATACATCTGTGAAAGACAGTTGTACAACCCATTTACATCAACCAAAAATCCAGTCATTTGAACATAACATTGCAGAGTGCAGTGATAGGAGAATGAGAGTTACTAGGGGAGTACTTAGGATGGAGTACTCACCTAAACCTGGGTAGTAAGAGGAGGCATCTTGGAGGAAATGACAGCTAAACTAGGCTCTAAAATATTGAATTGGAATTAGCCAGATACAGGTCGTGGTGGTTGAGGTGAGCAGGTCAATGAGAGTTTTTAGTCAACGTTTAATGCTTGGAGACTTGAGAAACTGAAAGTAATTGACTAAGCAGAGGGAACCATTGAAGATTGTCTCTTCATTTTAGAAAACTTCAGCATACAAAGAGTAGTAGAATGAGTCCTCTTACATGTATCCCACAACTCTAGCAATTACCAAGTCATGGCTAATGTTATTGAGACCACTACTTCCATCCCTGGTGGATTATTCTGAAACAAATTTGAGATACCATATTGTATCATTGTTATTTATAGCCGGAGAGTGACATAATTTTACATTTTAGAAATTACATGTTCCTAGTAATTCTAAGTGACCTTTAAAATACCTGCACCATAGTTTGGGTGTTTCTTATTTGCTGCCAGTTATGCAAAGTCATTCATCTTCCTGCACTACCAGGTACTTTTTATAGTAGTTTATATTTTTTTAAAATTACAGTGTTATGGAAACATGATTAAATGTTAAGACGGTTTTATGTATTTATCTTCCCATGTTTATCAGTTGGTTTATTGTATTTTAAGATACCATTAATGGGCTGGACACAGTGGTTTATGCCTGTAATCTAACACTCTCGGAGGCTGACTCCTCAGGAATTGAAGACCAGCCTGAGGAACAGGCTCTCCCATCTCTATTAAAATAGAAAAAAAAATTAGCCAAGTGTTGTAGAGGGTGTCTGTAGTCCCAACTACTCAGGAGGCTGTGACAGTAGGATCAGTTGAACCCAGGACTTTGAGGTTGCTGTGAGCTAGGCTGGCACCATGGCACTCTAGGCTGGGCAACAAAGTGAGACTTTGTCTCAAAAAAAAAAAAAATAGCAGTAAATGAGAAACACCCAGAGATTAGTGATGTTTTTGGCTTATATATCTATTACATTAAAATGTGATAATGAGTTACAAGTCAATTTGTTTCTAGGATTCAGCCTCTGAATCACAAATATGCTAGTATTTGGAAAGTGGAATTAGATTTCCTACTTTGTTTTCATGAGTTAAAATGAGGGTACAGGCTCGGCGCCTGTGGCTCAAGCGGCTAAGGCGCCAGCCACATACACCTAAGGTGGTAGGTTTGAATCCCCAGCCCGGGCCCGCCAAACGACAATGATGGCTGCAACCAAAAAATGGCCAGGCGTTGTGGTGGGCACCTGTGGTCCCAGCTACTTGGGAGGCTGAGGCAGGAGACTCGCTTGAGCCCAGGAGTTGGAGGTTGCTGTGAGCGTGATGCCATGGCACTCTACTCAGGGGGATAGCTTGAGGCTCTGTCTCAAAAAAAAATAAAATAAATAAAATAAAATAAAATGAGAGTACGTATGATTAGTTACATCATTTGTGTTTGTAGGGATAAAGTCCAAAGTCTGAACTGTAATTGAGTTCTTCACCTAGGAAGTGTGCCATATACCCCTACATTTTATCCACTAGGTGGGAACTAACCAAGCTCCTTCTCCCCTACCCGTTTCTTGAATTTAATTGTGTTTTTCTCTCATGTGGGACTGTAATTGTTGGTCTACCATTATCAGAGTAGTACTGAATACATGGGATGCTTGCTTTTTCATTCTTTAGTTACTTAGGAGAATGTTCTCCAAATTCATCCAGGTAAATACAAAAGATGCAATGTCTCCATCTTTTTTGTAGCTGAATAGTATTCCATGGCACACATATACTGAAGCTTTTTAATCCATTTATGGGTTGATGGGCACTTGGGTTGTTTGCACATCTTTGTAGTTGTGAATTGAGCTGCTATAAACATTTGAGGACAAAAGTCCTTAGGGTAAAATGATTTTTTTCTTCTGGGTAGATACTTAATAATGGAATTATGGGATCAAATGGGATTTGTACTTTTAGTTCTTTAAGGATTCTCCATACTTCTTTCCAAAGGTTTGCAGTCCAACCAACAGTACATTAGTAGACCCCTCTCTCCACACCCCTGCCAGCATTTGCAGCTTTGGGACTTTGTGACGTGGGCTATTCTCACTAGTGTTAGATGATATTTCAACATAGTTTGATTTGCATTTCTACTCATTTCTCTGGTGAGTAGGGATAATGAACATTTTTTCATGTCTTGTCTGGCCATCTGTCTTCAGGGGAAAGGTTCTGTTCATGTTGCTTACCCATTGATTGATGCGATTGTTTGCTCTTTTTATTTTATTATTATTATTTTTTTTTTTTTTTTTGGCAGTTTTTGGCCAGGGTTGGGTTTGAACATGCCATCTCTGGCATATGGGGTCAGCACCCTACTCCTTGAGCCACAGGCCCCACCCTTGTTTGCTCTTTCCCTGTTGATTTGCTTGAATTCTTTGCATATTCTGGCCACCAGCCTTTTGTTTGGTTTATAACATGTGAATATCTTCTCTCATTCTGAGTGTTGTCTATTCGCTTTGTTGTGTCCTTACCTTTGCAGGAGCTTTTTAATTTGATCAGATCCCACTTGTTTATTTTTGTTGTTGCTACAGTTGCCAATGGGGTCTTTTTCATGAATTATTTCTCAAGGCTGTAACATTAGAAGTTTTTCCCACACTTTGCTCTAGGGTCTAGATTTACTTAATTTTACTTAAAATATTTTTTTAATTTTTTAATTATTTTTTATTTTATTATTTATGTATTTATTTATTTTGAGACAGAATCTCAAGTTATTGTTTTAGGTAGAGTACTGTGGTGTCATAGCTCACAGCAACCTCAAGCACTTATGCTCAAGAGATCCTCTTGCCTCAGCCTCCTGAGTAGCTGGGACATCAAGCGTTGGACTATGCCTGGCTAATTTTTCTATTTTTAGTAGAGATGGGTGTCAGTCTTGCTCAGGCTGGTCTCAAACTCCTGAGCTGAAGTAATCTGCCCTCCTGCCTTGGCTTCCCAGAGTGCAAGATTAAAGGCATGAGCCACCACGCCAGGCCTAGATTTACTGGTTTTAATATGAATCTTTTTACAGATTCAGGTTGAAGAATTTACAATTCTCCTTTTGTGTATTGAAATATACTGAAATTTATTTACTTAATAAAACTTACTTTGTTGATAAAAGTTAATATAGATGGCTTTTATTTTAAAGCTATTTATAGCTATCTCTGGACCACTAAGTTAAAAATCCTGTCCTCTAATTAGAGTGTTTCTTATAGTATTTTAGGTTAATTTCCTTTTTTTGAAAATAATTATTACAATACTTTGGGATAATACTGTAGTCACTCACTCATTGTGTGAGAGGCAGTGATCTTTATCTAAATCAGAGGTTGGCAAATTTTGGCTGCTGAAAATGGTTCTTACCTTTCTAAAGGGTTATTATAAAAAAGGAAGAAGAATTTACAACAGAAACCATATATAGTCTGTGAATGTAAAATATTTACTATCTGGGCTTTTACAAAGAAAGAGTTTTAGTCCTTTATATAAATGAATGTAACTTATTTCTTGGCACATGCTTTTTTTTTCTTTCGAAATGTTTCTATAAGATTTGTTTTAGAACTGACACTGAATATTAAAGTTTTCATTGTCTTCTACAGAGAAGATGGTGAATTAGAAGATGGTGAAATAGATGATGCAGGATTTGAAGAAACACAAGAACAAGAGGCAAAAGAGGATGAGAAGCAGAAAAATGAGAAAGCCTACAGAAAATCGAGAAAAAAGCACAAGAAAGAAAGAGAGAAGAAAAAATCCAAAAGGAGGAAACGTGAGAAACATAAGGTTAGTTAGAATCTACTTTCTATTATTTTGGTAAATTTTTAGGAAATATAAAATACTGAAAATTAGAAAATATGTTACTACCTGCTCTCTTATAAAGTGTTTGGGTTAGATATTTTTATTTATGTGATTAACACTTTTTCTAATCATAAATAACAGGGTGGACATGAAGTTTGTATGCAATTTAAATAGTAAATAATTCTTAGTAACAATAGTTACTAAAAAGTAACACGAACTTCATGTCCACTCATACTTTAGTTTACTATTTTCCCTATATTATGTGAAATATCAAAATAAAGGTTTAAAAAATAAGTTAAATCTTAACTTGATTATTACAGATTAAAATACATAGTCTTTGAATGGATAAAAGACTGTATTAGGAGTCTGTATTAGGAGACTGTATTAGGAAGATTAAGGAAAGAATGTCATTCTCTACAGATACAGATTATACATAGGCTAGCAAAACCAAAAACCCATTGGCAACATCTATAAAAGAATGAAGAAACAATGGAAACAGCAACAGAAACTTGGAGGGTTATTACCTCTAGTTCACACATGAGTGTAAGATGACCACAGAGAATTGGATGGTGCTGGAAAGATGTGGGCCTGATGAACTCCTGATACTACAGACCATCATGGACTTAAAAACATCTAACTTAGGTGCAACTCACATTCACGGAGACTATTACAGTAAATTCCCAAATTAAAAACACTTGACTGATGTACAACTCACAGTTATGAACAGAGGCCATTACAGGTAATATGTAAATGTACCTGCTCCAACTTACATAGAAATTCAACTTAAGAACAAACCTGCTGAACCTATCTCATACTGAAACACTTAAGAACAAACCTACTGAACCCAAGGACTGCCTGTAATCAACCAAATCCCTTTTTCTAGGACAGAGTTTTATACTGAGGAAATAAATGTTGGGAGTAGAATGTAAATTGAGAGGTATACTATAGGGGAAGGAAGCAGAAAATGTACATTGCAGAAAAACAGCCATGTTTTTGAACACTTCATGCTAACAACAGAAGAGATAAACTAGAACTGTGAAGCTTTGTTGGCCCATTCCATCCATTTTTTCACATGAACAGCAAGATAGGACTGTGGCCACATTTCATAGACGTTTAATAGTAAGAAAAAGAATAATGAAGAGAATAATAGTCTTCTAGAAAAGAAAGAATATTCACAGAGCATATGAAAAATTTAACCCAATATTTTAAAATAGTAAGAAACTAAGAAAACAATACAAGATATTATCAAACAACATAAGTAGAAATTTGAACAAAGATTCTTTAGCCATCTAGGCAGAAAGACCAAGTGCCTTATTAAGAAAAGAAGATCAGTTTGGGCATTATGGCTCATACCAGTAATGCTAGCACTCTGGGAGGCCATCTAGAGGGGCAGATTGCTTTGAGCTCAGGAGTTCGAGACCAGCCTTAGCAAGAGTGAGACCCATCTCTACTAAAAATAGAAAAACTAGCCAGACATAGTGGCACACATCTGTAGTCCCATCTACTTGGGAGGCTGAGACAGGAGGATCTTTTGAGTCTAAGAGTTTGAGGTTACTGTGAGCTGTAATGCTGCAGCACTCTACCCAGAGTGACAGAGTGAAACTTTGTCTCAAAAGTTTTGGCCAGGCACAGTGACTCAGGCCTGGAATCCCAGCACTTGGGAGGCCCAGGAGGGTAGATTGCCTGAGCTCATGGGTTTAAGACCAGCCTGAGCAAGAGCAAGATCCCATCTCTAAAAAATAGCCAGGTGTTGTGGTGTGTACCTTTAGTCCCAGATACTTGGGAAGCTGAGTCAATAAAATTGCTTAAGCCCGAGAGTTTGAGGTTGCTGTGAGCTATGACACCAGGGTACTCTACTAAGGGCCACAAAGTGAAACTCTGTCTCAAAAAAAAAAAAGAAAAAAGTTTGGTTATTTCTTTTCTTCTGTTGGGTTTGGGATTAGATTGTTTTTCTTTTTCCAGTTCCATAACATGGTTCATGAGTTTGTTCATGTTAAGGAGACAATAACCAAAGCAAATAGCCTTCAGAATGGTGAAAGATACTTGTATATTATGAATGGGACAAAAACTTGATAAGTAAGAACTACAGAGAACTCAAATTAATCAACAAAAAAAGAGCCAACAATCCGTATATCACTGGGCAAGAAACATGAATAGAACCTTCTCTAAAGAAGACAGATGTATGGTTAACAAACATAAAAAATGCTCATCATCCCTAATCATCAGAGAAATGCAAATCAAAACCACTGAGATACTGCCTAACCCCAGTGAAAATGGCCCACATCACAAAGTCTCAAAGCTGCAGATGCTGGTGTGAATGTGGAGAGAACACTTTTACACTGCTGGTGGGACTGCAAACTAATACAACCTTTTTGGAAGGAAGTATGGAGAATCCTCACAGAACTCAAATTAGACCTCCCATTTGATCTTGCAACCCCATTACTGGGCATCTACCCAGGAAAAAAATCATTTTATCTTAAGGACCTTTGCACTAGACCAGTGGTTCTCAACTTTCCTAATGCTGGGATGTATTTTCACTGTTACAAAGGAGTCGTGACCCACACGTTGAGAACTGCTGCACTAGACTATTCTTCACAGCTGAATTTACAATTGCCAAAATGTGGAAACAACCTAAATGTCCACAAACCCAGGAATGAATTAACAAGCTGTGGTGTATGTATACCCTGGAATACTATTCAGCCATTAAAAGAAATTGAGACTTTACATCTTTTGTATTAACCTAGATTGAGGTGGAATGTATTTTTCTTAGGAAAGCATCACAAGAATGGAGAAGCAAGAACCAATGTACTCAATTCTGCCAGTAGATGACCTAATACATGGTGGGGGGTAAGGGGATGAGGATGTAGAGAGAGGGGATGGGGGGTTATGGGATATAGCATACCTCTTGGGGTCAGGACACAATTGTAAGAGGGACTTTACCTAACAAATGGAAATGGTGTAACCTAATTCTTTGTACCCTCAATGAATCCCAAACAATAAAAAGATCAAATTTATATAAAAATGTTTGACAATAACAATTTTATGCCCGAAGATAATGGAGTGATAAAATACTCAAGGAAGTAGAGTGTGAATTAAGGATTTTATATCTACCTAAATACTGACCTTAAAATACAATGTCTTTAGGTAAACTATATGCAAGAAGCACTCAGGAAATATTTTAACCGTGAGACTTTCTGTAAAATCTATTGGAGAATAAGTTCAGATAGCCAAAATGACTGGGGTGAGAGAGAAAGAGTGGTCTACATGCATATACGTATTTACTTGTAAAATTAAGACTAAATTATGGATAAAGGGGGAGAATATATTATATATTGGAATATTACAACTGTAAAACATGTCAGAAAAAGCAGAACAATATACGATAAGCAGCATGAACTTGCTAATTTGCTTCATTGTTAATAACTGAGAATAAAAATTATCCTGGGAGTGAAAGAAGAAAAAAGGGGTTACTGCCTAATTTCAATATTGTTTCCGTTAGTAAATAAGTGGTATGCAAAAATAGGACCTATGATTATTGGGAAAAGGCAGTATGAAGGAAATCATTAAAACAAAAGTATAAACCTTTCTAAATACCAAAATGATATTCTCTTCCAACAATGGCAAAACTCAACTCTAAGCTACTTGTAAGAGAAAAATATTAAAAAAATAGTAAAGTTATACCAGGCAAATGCAAAAAGAGAGAAGGCAGGAGCCAACTGTTGATATCTGAAAAAGTCAAATTTAGGTCAAAAAGTCATTAAAAGAAATAAAGGCATTATATAATGTTAAAGCTTATAATTCACAATGAAGATGTTACTGATAGATAGATAGATAGATAGATAGATATTTTTTTTTTTTTTTGAGACAGAATCTCACCATGTCACCCTCAGTAGAGTGCTGTGGTGTCACAGCTCCCAGCAACCTCAAACTCTTGGGCTTAGGTGATTCTCTTGCCTCAGCCTCCCAAGTAGTTGGGACTACAGGCTCCCACCACAACATCTGGCTATTTTTTTTGGTTGTAGTTGTTATTGTTGTTTTAGCAGGCCCGGGCCAGGTTTGAACCCGCCAGCCCTGGTATAGTAGTTGGAGCCATAACCATTGTGCTATGGACACCATGCCATGTTACTGATATTTGATATCCTCCCCAAAACAACTTTCATAAAGCAGGAACTATAAGGATTGCAAGAAAGAATAGATAGAACATATCACTAATAGGAAATGTACCAATATACCTTTTTAGTTGTGTTTTTGTGTGTGTGTGTGTGTGTGTGTGTGAGAGACAGAATCTTACTCTGTCACCCTGGCTAGAGTACAGTAGCTTTATCATGGTTCACTATAGCCTTGAAGTCCTAGGCTCAAGGAACCCTCCTGCCTCAGCCTCCTGTTTAGCAACAGGTGAGTACCACCATGCCCAGCTAATTTTTTCTGTTTTTGGTAGAGACAGGGTCTTGCTCTTGCATAGGCTAGTCTCCAATGCCTGACCTCAAAATGATCCTCCCCCTTAGGTCTCTTGAGAGTGCTAGGATGATGGGCGTGAGCCACCATGCTCAGCTCAATATACCTCTCTTAATACAAAGAGATCAATTAAGTTCATGAAAAGGTGCAAGGGACTCCTGAGAATGTACCTTCATATCAGGTACACTTAGACTATTCATAAAAACTGCCCATATCATAGGCCACAAAGAAAACTATAGTTAACTCAATAAAGTAGAAATAATACAAAGTACCATCTCAAACCGCAATGCAATAGAATTAGCATTACAGTGCCTTTCTATTTGGTTAATTCATATACATGCTCTAAATAGGTTGTGGAACATGGGCAAAACATAGGTTAAAACTGCAGAAATCTCATAAAAATAATGATAAAATCTTGACATAGTGTTTGTGGAATATAGCTAAAGCAACTGTTGGAAGAAAAATTATAGTATTATAGTATTAGCAATAGCAATAAAAATGGGGGGAAAAAAGGCAAATTAAATACCCAACTTAAAAAGCTAGAATAGCAAAGCAAAACAAAACAAAAAGGAAGTACTTATAAAGTAATAAGCAGCACTTAGTGAATTAGAATGAAAAATAACTCATTTTTTTTTCTTTTCTTTCTTTTTTTTTTTTTGTTGCCCTTGGTAAGAGTGCCACGGCAACCTCCAACTCCTGGGCTTAGGTGATTCTCTTGCCTCAGCCTCCCGAGTAGCTAGGCCACAATGCACAGCTATTTTCTTGTTGCAGTTTGGCCAGAGTGGGGCTTGAACCCGCCACCCTCAGTATATGGGGCCAGTACCCTACTCACTGAGCCACAGTTGCTGCCTGGAAAATGACTCATTTTTACAAAAAGTCAACCATATATGTAAATCAGTGGCCAAACTAATCAAGAAAAATAAAGGAAAGAAAAAGGAGCTTAAAAGCTTGGTGACTCACGGCTGTAATCTCAGTACTCTGGGAGGCAGAGGCAAGTGGATTACTTAAGCACAGATTGGAGAACATTCAAAGCCAGAGAGAGACCCCATCTCAAAAAAACAGCTGGGTGTTGTGGCAGGTGCCTGTAGTACCAGTTGTTCGGGAGGCTGAGGTAAGAAAATCACTTGAGCCCAAGAGTTTGAGGTAGCTGTAAGCTATGATGCCGTGGCACTCTACCAAGGGCAACAAAGTGAGACTCTGTCTTAAAAAAAAAAAAA